GGGGGGCGCGGAAAGGGCACCTGAGAGCACCGAGGGAAGAGCCACAGCACAGCCCTCCCCAGGCCAGCTAGGAGATCCCGTAGGCTGCCGCGCCCCTCACACGCGCGCGCGCACACACACACACCCCTGGAATGTGGGCCAAGCCTTCCTGGCGGGGGTCCTCCACCCCCAGGGGGTTCTGGGCAGCCTGTGGCGCTGGCGGAGGGTAGGGGGCGAGAGTGCCTCCAGAGGGCAAGGTCGGTTTGGGGCAGCCCTCCGGCGGGACCTGGCCGAGCGGCCAAGATGCTCTCTCTCTGGGCAGCAGGGGCCGCAGCCTCGCTCCATGCGATGCCTGTGAGCCCTGTTGCTTCCTTGCCTTGCCAAACCCTGAGGCTTTTCGAAGGGCCAGGCGCTTCCTAAAGAGTAGACCTGGGGGAGGCTTGGCAGGGGACCTGCCCCCATCCTAGGGAGGCTATTTCTGGCACTTGGAACCCAGCCAGCAATCCTGCTGGGCTTCTCTCACCCACCTACCCTCCTACCCACCCTGGATGCCTGTGAGCCCTGTTGCTTCCTTGCCTTGCCAAACCCTGAGGCTTTTCGAAGGGCCAGGCGCTTCCTAAAGAGTAGACCTGGGGGAGGCTTGGCAGGGGACCTGCCCCCATCCTAGGGAGGCTATTTCTGGCACTTGGAACCCAGCCAGCAATCCTGCTGGGCTTCTCTCACCCACCTACCCTCCTACCCACCCTGCCACGTTGTGTCCTCGTAGATTTTGTGGATAATCCTGCCTAAACCATCAAGAAGAGGGGGGCACGCGGGCCACACCCTCCGGCTGCAGACTTAGCTCTGATGGGCCTGGCCAGGAGCAGGTGTCAGGAGCGGAGGGAGGCCTCAGGTAGGGGCTGACGGTCCTGTGCCACCTCCTGCCCCACTGATGGGCTGCCCCCCCCAAATGCCCTCTGCAGGTCGGACGTGGTGGTGCTTTGCTTCTCCTTGGCCAACCCCAATTCCCTCAAGCACGTGAAGAGCATGTGGTACCCGGAGATCAGGCACTTCTGCCCACGGACCCCAATCGTGCTGGTGGGCTGCCAGCTGGACCTTCGCTACGCAGACCTGGAGGCCGTCAACCGGGCGCGCCGCCCGCTGGCCAAGTAGGCAGAGGATTTGGGCGCTTCCTTGGGTGGTGGCAGGCCAGGGCAGGGGCCAGGAGGAGGCGTGGCTTCTCCTCACCGGAGGCTTTTGAGGAGAGTTTGGGGGGGGGTTGATCCTGCCAGGGAGGCTTTTGTGGTGGGTTTCCTGCTTTGTCAGGGTTGGACCCACCAACCCTCGCGGTCTCCCTTCCGACCTTACAGTTCTTTGGTTCTGGGTGGAGTCGAGGCAGGAGGAGCTTCCTGGGGATCGGGCCCCGGCATGGTTTTTACCCTGAGGTTTGCCAGCAGCCTCACACGCTCAGCTTCTCTGTCTGCCTGTCTGTCTGTCTGTGGGTGGGGCAGAAAGGGTCTGGGTTGGGCCAGGCCAAGCCTCCTGACCCGGATGGCCGTCCTCTGTGCCCCTTCCCCCAGGCCCATCAAGCCTTCTGACATCCTGCCCCCCGAGTGTGGGCACGAAGTGGCCAAGGAGCTGGGCGTCCCCTACTACGAGACCAGCGTGGTGGCCCAGTTTGGCATCAAGGACGTCTTTGATAACGCCATCCGAGCCGCCCTCATCTCCCGGCGCCACCTGCAGTTCTGGAAGTCCCACCTCAAGAAGACGCAGCACCCGCTTTTGCAGGCCCCCTTCCTGCCCCCTAAGCCCCCGCCGCCAATCATCCATATCCCTGACCCCATGCCGGGGGAAGGCCGGGGCCCCACCGACCTTTTCCACGAGCCCCTCTGCGCGGACGTCGTCTTCTGCCTGCAGGGGGGCCACCGGGTGTTTGCCCACCGGGTCTACCTGGCCACCTCCTGCTCCAAGTTCTACGACCTTTTCATGCTGGACTTGGCCGGGGAGGCCGGGGAGGGCCTCAAGGAGCCGGCCAGCAGGACAAAAAGTCTCGATGCCGACAAGGGCTCTCTGGCGGGGGCCGCCA